AAGATCACCTCTACTTTATTATGCAGAAGGACACAAGCCAGGAAATTCACATTTTGGAATATCCCCCAGTTCTTGTCTCCGGTATTCTCAGCTGGGCCACTGAACCCATTAGGAACAGGTCCAGCTCTGAGTACAGAGCAGAAAAACAAGCAACACAATGAAACCCTTCCCTCCTTATCTTGGTCGATGCTCAGCCAATCTTTGATAAATGGAAGATCCAAAAATGTAATAGAAACTTTTTATTCATATTCATTTTCATTGGTATATATTAGGATCAAGATAGGTTATCTACTTATATAAAAGAATCTGGTGGGGCTAAGGGTGGGTTCAGTTGGTAGAGTATTTAATCAGCATGCATAAAGCCTGGTACCTAAATCCCATAACTGTAAACTGGGCATAGTTTGCGCTTGTCCTTCATCTCAACACTTGAAAAGTAGAGGCTGGGGAATCAGAAGTTCAAGGACACCTCTGGGCTACAAGAAACACTATCTCAAAGAAAAATATCCTCATGAAAACCAATACTGTGTATAATGAAAGAATATTTTAATTGAATTAAAATGCCTAAATGAGGTTAGGGGATGTCTAGCATAATTTCTCTATAAAATTCCCTTTGTTTCCACTCTTGACCACTCTTATCTCATTCATCTGAAATGTTAGACTCTTGAACTTCTTGTCAGGAATTCATCTGCAAATTTAGTTTTGTAAACATCTCTCTCAGTGGCTTTCTATTCAAAATCTTTCTTTGTAATTCTATTGCCTGCAAAAGACATTCTCAACAGGAACTGGCAAGCTTTCCCTGTAAAGGTCAAAGCAGTGAATGTTCTTGGCTTTGGTGGTCATATGGTCTGGTCTCTGCTGTAGCTACTCAACTCAGCCCTCTGTCAGTGGGCAGCAGCTGCAGGCAATGTGAGAATAAATGAGCGCACTACTTCCAAACAACCCTGTTTATGAGAATTTAAAAACTGTATACTGTGCTCATGTCATTTTACTTCTGTTTTTTTATAACCAGCCATATGAAGACATTGAAGCTCATCTTTTGTCATAATTAATTTTACAACAGGTGACAAGCTGTTTAAAAATGTTTTTATGAATCCTTTGAGGATTTTGTTTTGATCATATTAGCCATCTCCTAATTATTCCCTGATCTAGCCCCAACAACCCCTTCCTTACCCACCCAACTATGTGACTTTTTCCTTTTTTTTTTTTTTTCTAAGACCCATTAAGACCAATTCTTGGATGTGTGGTCTTCCACCAGAATGTGGTTAACTTACCAGGGACCCTTACATAAAGCCAATTCTTCTCTCAGAAGCTAACAAGTGCCATAGCTCCTTGGCTGTGTATGGGAATGCCATACCCATCTCCCCTCTCCAGGCTGTGATTTGGTCTGGCTTGATCTTGCACAGGATTTACACGTGCTTATGTTACAACTGTTGTGATTTTGTTGGCACAACTGCCCTTTTTCATTCAGAAGACATCCACCACATCCACCTTCCTTCTGTCTCCTTTTCCTCAGTGATCCCCGAGTCTTGGAGGAGGGTGTGTGACTTGTTTTGACCTGTGCCTCTGTGTAAATTCACAGATTCCTGCACTAAAGTCTTCTCTAACATCTGACTTAATCCAAGTCATGATGTAGTTGTCTCTTCAGAATTAGCTTTCACCCTTTCCATCATTTCCACATTCTACATTAGGCACTTCTTGTATGAATGTGCCATGCTCTCAACCATCTCATCTATTTGCTGCTCATTTCTCCCATCTAGCTTCCAAATGTTCATTTGTACTGTGAAACTTTTCCTGATTATCTTAGCTTACAACAGTAGCCTTATACTTCTCAGTAACAATACTTTCCTACCTATATCTTAAGCATTCTGCATGCACTACACCTTTTAAGTCTGAGGTGATCAAATAGGCATTGTCAGGATAATTTTGCACATAGAAATTTAATCTACAGCATGATATGTATTCGGTGATGGCCTAGCCAGGATTCTGATTTGGAGAGTTTAAAGCCCCAAAGTTATGCACTGCCTTATAAATTCAAAGTATACCATTTTCTGGCTGTTTTCCTCCTACTTCTTTTGTGATTCTGATTTCATTTCTACCCACCATTAGAGCTATTTGCGTAAATTTCTCCATCTTTTTTTCAGTGTAGAATTCTCAAAGGCACAATCCCTACTCTATTCATATTTGTATCCTCAGAGGGATTTGCATAGAATATGTACTTCACACATCTTTGTTGAGAGAAGAGCACTATTTAATATACACTTGTAGCAATGAACTCTTATTAGTAACTTTCGGATTTGATTTCCGGTAATCACTATCCTTGATGAAAGAGAACAAACCTGCTTTCTTTCTTCCTTCTTTCCTTTCCTTTCTTTTTTTTTTTTTTTCTTCTCAGGAAATGAACCCAGAAATAAAACCTGGGACCCATCAGTATGTGTGGTGAGATTTTCTTTGTGCTCAAGTGAAAGCTGTATAGCTTACAAACATGAGGTGCATTTGGTTCATTGTTTTGAATGTTAGCAGGTGGGCTGTGCAGAATGATCTTTGCTGTTTGTTACATCAGCACATGAGCTCTGCAGTTGGGCTGCTGCTGCACCAGTTGTATGGAGCCTTTGATATCAATAACAACGAGTACTGTGGGCAGGTAGGAACAAAAGTTACTCCCTGCTCAGCTTCAGACAAGGTCAGCCTCTATCTCTATAGCACATTTGAGACATTTGGATGGAACTTTTGTCTGGCTGTGACATTTGGCAACAGTGACAGACAGAGCAATCAACAATTGCCATCCCTTCCACAATTCAACTTGCCAAATTTAAAAAGTGACTGATTCTCTCATCTTCTGAGGTTAAGTTTGACAAATCTTTTTTTTCCTTAGATGTGAAATCTCATAGGTTATAAACTAAATGACTTAATGCCTCAAGGAGCAGCCTGCTAATGGTACAGAGCCTGAGCTTTGCAGTCAAGACCCACCATTAACGTGGACAGGCTTTCTGTGTTCCAGAGAACACATGCATGCTACTCTGGCCCATTTCTTGCAAGGAAGAAAAAAAATGCTTTTGTCGTAGAGTCTTAAATAAAGAAGCATTAATAACATCTCCACTGGAATGCCTGATGGAAAACCAAATGCTCATTGAATTGCTTCCTTTTCTCCACAGTATCATGTTGCTTTTGAAAACAAATACATTAATTCCTAAGTTAGGTTTGTAAGTACCTTGTTTTGTTGGTTTATTATACTGTATGATTGTTGCCCCAAGATGATTACATTAACTAGGGATTTTTATTGTTGTTGTTGTCAGGTTTTTTTTGTTTGTTTGTTTGTTTTGTTTTGTTTTGTGGTTGCTGTTGTTTTGGAATAGTTACTCTAAAAGTTGAGACCTAGTTTTGAAATGGATATTTGGGGAGCAGAGAAGTTGTAGTATCGATACCACATCTATCCTGAAAGTCACTGGGTTACAGACCCAAGCAATGGAGTTAGGCTTCAAAGGGGGAACTACCATTGTATCCTCATGCTGGGGTGCTACATTTTATAGCAAGTAGCTACCTTCAGCTAGCACATTCCACTGACAAGAGTGAAGTCTATTCTGTCAGGAGGTTTATCTAGTTTTTTATTTCGTTTGTTTCTTTTCTTCCCTCCTTACAAGGATCTTTCCTCCTATGATACTGTTGTTCCTTTTTCACTCTAGTCACAGCCAAATTCATATGGTCACTGGTAACCATACTCCATCCCATTCAGTGAATTTGTTCCTCTCTTTCTTCTCATTTCATTCAACTGGCATAGAGCCCTATTTGCATTCCTATATTGTTACTTTTCTGAAAAATCCAAGCAACGTAGCTCCATAAGCTTTAATGTGAATAGCCCAGTCAAATAACAAAAATGGCCCAAGTCATAGCAAAACTAATGAAACTTTTAGGTGTTCTTCACAGTTTGCAAAGAAATCTGCCTTAGAAATACTGTTGTCTGTATTTCTCCAAGGTCACTGTTCAAACCAATGAATTCAGCTATTCACATGAATAAAATTAGATTTCATCAGAACTTACGTATTTTGAGCAAATATAATGATGTACATGTAAGAAAATGTCTTAAGAAAGGCCATTATTTTGTGACATAACAAAAATTAATAGAAATATATGAAACTTATTGAACTATAAAAACAGGCTTACAAGTCTAAGTATTATTTAGTAAGTCACTAGAGCCTTTTACTAATTTCTTTAAAAATTAGCTGATTTGTCTTTATAACAATGGTATTTCTGTTTTCATTATACTTAGGCAGGTTTATGACTTGAATACGATATATAACAACAATTCACAGTAATATTTACATAGGTATGAAGTCTTAAATTTTAAACAACCCAGACAAACTTGCATATTTAGAGTATAAGTTACTTGAATGATAGTTGCTACATAGATATAAAGTAGAAATCCCCTCCAGATCCAGATATTTCACATGCATGGAGTCAACAACAAGCAATTAAAAGTATTCAGAAAAAAAATGTCTATTCTGAACATCTACACTAGATTTTTTCTACTGATTATTACCTAAATAATAAAGTGTAATAACTCATCGCATGGCATTTACATTGTGTTAGACAATATGAGTAACTTGGAAATGATGTAAAAAATGTAGAAATGGGGCTGGTACATGACCCAATGGCTAACAGAGCATATTGCTCTTCCAGGGGATCTGAGTTTGCTTCCCAACACTCACATCAGGCTACTCAGAACCGCTCTAACTGTTGTGTAGGATCAAGACAATCCATGACAGTTTTATTGAGCCTTTTAGTTTATGAAGTAAAAGGAAAAGCAATTCTCCTTAATACTTTACATAGCTGTAGTAAAATATCTGAGACTTAAAGAAACTTGGTTGGGGGGGTACATTTCTCAAAAATTGAGATCAAGTAAACAAGCTTTAACACCTTAAATTTTCCAGTTGACTTTTCCCTTACAATAGTAACAAGCGCTAATCACATAAGTCTTTGTTGTTGCTGACATCTTATCTGAAGCACTGGTTTCAGTCAATATCTACTAATTCCACTTCAAAAATGAGCTTGGTATTTGGTGGAATTTTGGCATCAGGCTGTCCTTTCTTTCCATAGGCCCATTCTGGCTCAATCTCCAGTCGAGCCTTTTCTCCTTTACTCATAGTCAGGAGGGCCTCATCCCATCCTCTGATAACTTTGCCTACTCCAACCTTAAAACTTAATGGCTTGGCATTTTTCTTCTTCTTTGAACTTGTTTGAATATTAGTTTCAAAAGTAGTTACGTCTGGGAGTGTCACTGTATACCAGCAGTGAACAACAGCTCCCTTTTTTGGAAAGTTGGTTTTATTTCCCTTTTTTAGGACAGATTTTGTGTATTTTGGTGGACCCTCATCAAGAGTCTCTTCAGACTTGGATTCTTTGGGTTTATCATCACTAAGCTTCACGTTTTTCACTTGCTCGGACACTTTACTTACAGTTTCAGTACCCTTGAAACGCTTACTTTCAAAAAGATGGTTATAGGCAGTAACCAAATGGTCCTTATTATCAGTCTTAGCTACATTTTTTATGTTTCCCAATAATTTATGTTCTTCAAGAAACGAATCTGAACCGTGATCCTGCAGAAACTTGATAATGTCCTTCTTGGGCAGCTGCTCGCTGCGCAACTGCTCCACGGTCCATGCACGCTGCCAAACGGCCGCCGCCATCTTCCCCCACTCCTGAAGCTGTCTTTTAACCACCGCAGGCACCTGCACACATGTAGCACAGTCACATACTCATACAAAAACATAAAAATAAATCTTTAATAGTAGAATTATAGAAAGATATTGTGGGTTCTATGGAAATATGCAAACGATACGCCATTTTATCTCAGAGACTGGACTGCCTGTAAACTTTGCTATCCATGGGGGCCCTGGAATCACTCAGGGCAATGCTGAGGAATAACTGTGTGAACTGGTTTTAAAGTCCATAGCTCACATGATAGGCTGCCTCAGAGACACCCTACAATTTGCTCTTTTTATTATTATTATTATTATTTTTTAGAAAGTGTTTGTGATTATTTTCATTCTTGAACTCCTAGGGTTTTCAACTCCTTGAAATAAGTAAGAGGAATATAACTCGCTGACAGTAAGCAATATGACTACCCAAAATTTCGAATAACTCCAGTGGTAGGATTTGGTGAGTAGTGTTAACCCTTTGATTCAACAGAAAAATAACAAAAAATAAAAATGACTCCACTATTTTGGAGCAAATTTAAAGTAATCGTTTATTAAATGTTAAATACTGACCGAGAGATGGATTTGGTCAGGACCATTCTCCAGAATTTCCCACTGGAGAATGGCCTTGAGCCACATCTTCAGGGGCTTATTATAATTAACCTATTGGCTACCACACTTTCCCATGAAGCTTTCTTATTTCTCAAGAACTACCATTCCCAGCATTCCAGGAAGTTACCTGGTTCCTGGGCAGGTGATTCTTACAGGTTAATTTTTTTTTTTAGCAATGTAATAGAACTGGTCTTTTCTTCATCAACTGCCATCCTCCCAGCTTTTTAACCTCTAGGCATAGTTAGTAACATATTCACACAATCATTGCTAAACTCCTTAAGATTATAGCAAGCTGAGTGTGAGGTGTACAGCTATAGTCCCACCACTTGAGAGGTAGGGGCAAAAGAATCAGTAGTAGAACATCATGCTTGGTTTCATAAGGAATTTGAGACAAACCTGGGAAACATAATACCCTGTCTCAAAAAATAAAATAAAAAGCAATTTCACAAATTGTGCAAGATTGATAACATCTATGTTCTTGCTACACTCTAATAGTCACTAAATAAAACATGTTTTGAGGTGAGTCTACAATAGCCTTTAAGTAGGATCTGGCCAACCTCTCAGAGACAGAATAATGTATGAAGATGTATAAGCCTGCATGAATTTCCAAGGCCAAGGTTTTATTATGATGTGGAAAATTTCATTTAAAGATATTTGTAATGTGTTCATAAAGGAAAAAAAAAAAGATGACATCAGAGTCCATCTAGCCAACCTCTGTATTTTGGATCCAATAATTAAACCAAGATAAAGAATACGTCTACCATTCTTTATTCTAATATCTCTGTGGTATATGGACCATTTGTAACACTGAAACATTTTTATTTGCTTTATTAAGGTATGCTTAACATATAAAATGCTATATATTTCATGATACAACTTAGTAGTTTGAAGAGAAAAGGATGTACTTATGAAATCATCATTGTAATGATATAAACATTCCCTAATACCATCAGTTATCTGCAAGCTTATGATTTTGTCCTTTACATACTAATTTATAATACATCTTGCTAAGGATGAGGTTTCCAACATTAACATCTAGAGTGAAAACAACTCTCTCCTTCTCTCTCTCTCACATGCATTCACTAAGATAAAAAACTCAAGTGACAACACATGTTGGAGAGGTTGTGGAGAAAGGGGAACCTTCCTCCACTGCTGGTGGGAACGCAAACTTGTACAACCACTTTGGAAATCAATCTGGTGCTTTCTCAGACAATTAGGGATAGTGCTACCTCAAGACCCAGCTATATCACTCCTAGACATATATCCAAAAATGCTCAAGTATAAAACAAGGACTATTGTTCAACCATGTTTGTAGCAGCTTTATTTGTAATAGCCAGAATCTGGAAACTATCCAGATGTCCCTCCACTGAGGAATGGATGCAGAAATTGTGGTACAGTTACAGGATGGAATATTACTCAGCAATTAAAAAAAAAGGAAATCATGAAATTTGCAGGCAAATCATGGGAACCATAAAAGATCATTCTAAGTAAGGTATACCAGAAATAGAAAGACACACATGGCATTTACTCACTTATAAGTGAATATTAGTGTCTCATTCTGTATGGTGCTCAGGTGAGTCAGAATTATCCTCTAGTCCCTGTAAAGCACAGGTATACTCAGGCCACAGTTAGAGCTCTTTTCAACCTAGGAGAATAGAAATACAGGTTAAATATTCTCCTGGGTCAGTTTTTTCATTAGATGAAAAAAAATATTTTATTTAAACAACAACAACAAATTTCATTTAAAGATATTTGTAATGTGTTCATAAAGGAAAAAAAAGATGACATCAGAGTCCATCTAGCCAACCTCTGTATTTTGGATCCAATAATTAAACCAAGATAAAGAATATGTCTACCATTCTTTATTCTAATATCTCTGTGGTATATGGACCATTTGTAACACTGAAACATTCTTATGTGCTTTATTAAGGTATGCTTAACATATAAAATGCTATATATTTCATGATACAACTTAGTTTTATAAAAGCATGAAACTTTGATTATTTCAGCATGTGATATTATTTTTGACTTAAAATGTACAGGAGCGTCCTGAGATTAATCTTATAATTCAGAGATAGCACAACCACCCTCATATAATGAGTGTAACAAGCCTAATTGGAGGTCACAGAAAACAAAACTAAACATACATTCTGATAACAACCCATGAAGCAGAATTGTTTGGCATACCAATACCATATCCATTCTTTCCTTCTTTATTTCTCATAGAGACCACCGGATACAGGAAGGGCAAAGGATTTTTTCCTTTCTGAACATTCCTTTTTTCCCCCAGTGATGATTTATTTCTTAATATAGAGTGATAGGCTCAACTGAAAATCCATAATTCCATTCTCTGAATAAAAATGCCTCCACTACAGACCACAGATTTGTGCTTCATTTCCATCACTCACATGTCCTTTGCGATTTTTTACTTGTACCCCATAGCTTAGGCTTTTATGAGAGGGCACCCCAAAAATTATTCCCAATTTTGACAGTTTTCTAGAGAAACCTATAGAACTGAGCTTCTAATGGCAGTTGTAGCTGTGATTTATTTTGGTAAAAGACGCAAACAAAATCAACAGTGGCGAAAGGTGCTATGAGCAAAGTCTTGAGAAATTAGACACGAACTTTGATGGTCCTTGCACGTAACTATGAGTTTCGACAGCAGAAATGAAATTTTGACATTAAGGAGGCTTATGAGAGGCTGAGCACAGGAGTCTTTATTTAAGTCGTATCACACGGGCACAGTCCATTTTAACATACCAAAAATTTCTAGAAAAAGAGCAGGGATTTGGCATCCAACATGTCGACAAGACAAATAGTGAAGACACAGCAAACTACCCTCATCAGTTAGGATAGGAAACATCTTGAAACCAAGGTTTCCAGCCAGGGGGGCTAGCTACTTGAGTAGGCTCTTCTGAGAAAGTGATGCTGTCTCTCAGGCAGCTTCTAAAGCCAGCTAGTCCCCAATGCAAGAAGATATCTATCTTCCCTTTTCTTCCTGCATTTTTTTACCTAGCCACCTAGCTATTCCTGCGTGGAAAGGCTGAGTCATGAAAAGAGGTAGAGGTATAGATATCGTTCGTCTTTACTGAACACAAGTGAATGTGGCTCCCTTTTAAAGGTTGGCTCTGTGTTACATTGGTCACATCCCAGTCGGTGCTTCAGAGTTCTCTGGGTTGAGCAGAACTTTCTGTAGTACTGTGACATCTTTTCCTTGGCTCAAATTAACCCTTTAGTCCCTGGTAAAAATCTATATGGACCACACTCCATATAGATTTTTTTTTTTTTAAATCATCATCATGTTTCCAAGTAGCCCTCCTGGGTAGGACTGAAAAGTGCTGCATGTGATCTCTCACTTGTGAGTAGCACACATCTGGCTGACTACAAGCAGACTACATTTCTGTCTGAATAAGCACTCTAGTGACAAACAGCCAAGAGTAGTCACCTCTTCTTCATAGTGGTGGCCAGAACAGCCAGGTAGCTTACCCCTCTCTTTCAGGTTTCTCTCTGAGAGTCAGAGCCTGTCCAGCTGTTCCCCAAGATGCACGGTCAAGATCGGGTGTCTGGAGCTATCCTGTGGATGCATCCCTTCCTTCTTGACATAAAATGAGAGCATCCTGTTTCACCTTAGTGATGAAGGAGCGGAGAGGGGGTTGTTGCCAGCAGCTCTCACCAGAAATGACTTCCATAAATACTCAAATGATTTCTCTCAGAATTCACATTGATATCTCAGATTCAATCTGTGAATCCCTAAGAGTCATGAAGTTGATATAACTCTGAAAAAGATGTGCTTCTCCACAAAAAAGATATAAACCAAACATAGACTCTCTCTCTCTCTCTCTCACACACACACACACACACACGCACACATGCTCGCACACACATTGATGTGTGTGCAAATATATTTGTACATATGGACATAAATATGTATTTATGATACAAGGCTAAATTCTAAATAAATACTTTTGTTCTTGTTTTGATACAGGTTCTCACTTTTTAGCTCTTGCTGTCCTGAAATTCACTATGTAGATCAGGCTGGTCTTAAACTCACAGAGATACAGCTGTCTCTGCCTCCCAAGAACTGGAATTGAAGGCATACAATGCTATTCCCAGCTCTAATGTATGTTTCTGAATGGCATGACAAACCACAAAAACAACAACAACAACAACAAAAACCAAAACAGTAATGTTAGTGCTTACTAAGAATGACGTTGTACAGAAATATTTAATGAAAACATAATTTAAAGTTCAGGTCTTCCAGTTAAGGTAACAGCCCCTCATGAAATCCTGTGTGGACACTGCTCAGTTAAGGACTCTTTTCACACTGAAGACACATGAGCTTGGAAGAGCATCCTAAGAACTTATAAAGAATACGCTAT